GAGGCCGCTTGGCTCACTGTCAGTGCCTCTCGCGTCCCATCAACTCTCTCGTGCCTTCTAGATCCTTCATCTTCGCAATCCCATAGTTTTTCGATGCATTCTATTTTTCCTCGTTACGAGACCTCATAAGGATAGATCTTGAGCCCTACTGCAAGTTGAACCCCCCTATATAAACAAGCCCCTGCCTGCCTCTATTGCCATCCCATCAAAGCTTTCTCCTCTAACAACAACAAAGCTCTCATCCTCTTTAGTTCCAATGGCCGGTAGAGAGATCATCCCCTATGGAGCCGATCTTAGCAAGAAGCCCGATGCACTGGCGCTGACCGCCGTTCCTCTAGAAGTTTCCCCTATTTGCTCAAATCAATCCTACTATGCCCAAGCCATTCGCCGCCCGCTAATCGCTCCACCACCGCCACTGCTACATCTTGAAGGAAAGCCTCTCCAACAAGAGCCAAAGCTAGACGCCCAGAAGCTTTTCAAGGTGATGAAGGAGATCAACCGTCTTCCGCCGAAGGATCATGAGGTGCTGACTGGACTAAAGACCAACAAATTTGGAAATGTTACATGTGAAAAATATAAGTCGGTCACCCCTCGTACAATCATTGATGGAGTCTAGGCTCTGTCGGATCAGATCAAGGTTGTTCCCCCGAAGGAGAGGAAGAGGAAGGCACCATCACCACCTGAGCGTCCAAGGATGACCATTGCCCTTCTAGAGAAGAAGATTGAAGACCTCTCTGATGTAGTTTATACCCTAGAGCAAAGGCTTGACGAAGAACGTGTTCGTCGGAAGAGTTTAAAAGAGGACCTAAATGCTTTAAATCACTTCGTTGTCAAATCTAGGAAGGAGAATTAGGTAGTCATTTTGAAAAGGCACAAGTGTTAGGTTAAGTGTTATCGTGTGTTTAGGTTTGTCGCTTAGCTCAGATGTTAGACCAGTTGAAAGTTTGTGTTAGCCAGATAAAATTTTGTGCTTAGTTTGTGCTTGTGTAATAAAGTGCCTTATTAAAGTTAATGGAGTCGTATTATTATCTGCTCTCTATATCTTTTGGATATGTGTTTGTCTCCACATGTTGTGTAGAAAGTTATACAGGAAAACAAGTGTGGGGGAGACACACCACAACAACAAGACATAATTTAATCGCTAAAATCATGAAATTCAGAAAAGTAATGAGTCAAGAACCACGTACAACAAAGCGGGCCACGAGAAGACCCTAGAGTGGGCCGCTCGGCCCAGCACTGCACCGCCTCGCCTTGTGCTTTGTCCACGGTTAGGTTTGTAGCCCATACACTCTATTTTTCATATGTTTTGCTTTCCGTTTCGAATCGAATTGAAAATCACTTGATAAAAGAACTTAAAACATGAGGAAAGGTTATTTTAGTCACGACTTAAGGATAGACTCACATAATATTTTTCCTAGAAGTCATGCTACTGTTGGGAACTTGTTATTAGGGACCCCATGTTACTTAAGTTGTTGTGGAATGAGATATAGTAGAACTTGATTCTTGATGTCTTGTTATTGGAGAATTTTATTTTAAAAAGTAAAATGAATAGCTACACCTCTCCTTTGTGGTAAGTAATGTCCTACCAGAGCCATACATGATATATAGACTAGGGAAACCCTTATACATATACTACTTGTTATTGTATTGAGTTTGGTCAAACCTTGTGGCCCTTGTTGATAAACTTATCATGCTCTCAAGATCAAGATCACGTACACTCCACATATATCTGCTGCTCCTACACTGGGAGTACGCAACAACTTATTTTCCATCCACCCAAAAATGTTCTACTCCTACACTAGGAATAGACACAAAAATATGCTTGATAGGATAAATGCTCCAAGTTCTTGTAAATGTCTCTCTTGAAAAGTTTCAATTACAGAAAAGAGGCATTGGCTATGCAAAAGTTATTCATGAAAAAAAGTATTGAAAAAATGGACAAGTGTCCAAGATATCTAAAAGAATGGGTACTTAGATGCCCGCCTAAAAAAGAGAGATGAATAAGATAGCTCATGTTTTCTTGTAAAAGTGTCTCAAAGTTTTAATCAAGAGAGATATGTTTCATGGAGCATAGTAGAATTCGGTTAGCCACTATATACATATTCCACACACATGCACATCTTGATCTAAAAGTATGACATTTTTCTCCTTGGATCCTTATTTTGACTTTACAATATATGCAACGCAAGTATGTTTTCACATTCATCCCTACCTAAGCTCCATATAAGCTTTTAGAAGTAGGCAAAAAGAAGGCAAGTCATTGATGCCTTATTGTGGATCCAAAAATACCACATATACAGAGTGATTTGACAGTACTACAAAAGGAGAAGGTGAGCTATGTTTTGTTTTCAAAAATCTTAAAATGTTCCTCTAATTGACTTGACTGAAGGAAGATGGTGATCTGTTTCAAGCTGTTCCATTCTTCAACCGCCCAAAGTTTCATGGTAGACACTTTGAATCCTACCATGCATGTATGACTGGGAATGGTTTTATGTTGATGTCTTGTCCTAAGGCTATGTCTTGAGTAATCCATCCTTTTATTGAGGACGAATAAAAGCCTAAGTGTAGGTGAGTTTGTTGACGGTAGTTAACATTCATTACAAGCCGTCAATATACCTTGCATAAATGACTAAAATAGATCACCAACATAGACTTAGGGATTTAAACTAACAAATTCCACGAGTTTTGGTGAATCTGTGTTTCCAGCAGGATTTAATCAGAAAACCGCCAACACTATACCACACACTTTTTACAGCGACTACAGAAGAGTCGATATAAGTCGTTATAGCGACCGATCATCGGTCGGTATAGCCCTTTACCAACCAACGTCATTAGATGGTGTAAGTGGCGTCGGTATAAAGTTATACCGACCAACATATTTATAACGACCGATAGTTGGATGCTCTTAGTTATATCGACACTTGATCTGTTACAGTCTTTACCGACCAATGGTTTGATGGTATATATCTTTTTATCGACCAACAATCCATCGCTATGAACTGACATGATTATATATAATTAATTTACATTTACCATATAATTTCAAGCCTATTCAACATCCACACCAATCCACATTACTCATTAACCGCATAATAATCCATAGCAATTCACGTTACTCATCAGTCGCATGTGGTTAGATAAACATATCTCAAGTTTTCATTGAATCCAACATTTGCACTTGTACAGTTGTACATCTTTACAAAAGAAAAAGTACATAGGCAACCTAGCTAGCTTGGTCAAATGGCAGCCACAAGTCATATGTTGGCTTGCACAATCTAATTAGTTCACTACAAAATGCCTCAACTCCAATTATTCAAACAAAATATCATGGGTGAGTATTTCGATTGATCTTGCTGTTGATGTTATCCAACATCTCACAACCTCTAGGTCCTCCTAGCTGAACAAAGTCAAGGTGACATTTGTTAATAGAACAGAATTACATAAAGCTACAATACATCTCTGCATCGACTAAATCTAAGTCAAAAACGAATATCAAAATCATCTAGATTTTTGTAGTCTCTGTTGCAAGAAATGATAAAACATATTTGACATTTGTTGCTAGAACGTGTCATGACCATATTTGAAAATCAAGTTTTCACAGGAGACAAGAGGGTTATTCTTGTTGCCAAATGACAACTAAACATTTCCCATTCATTTATCTGACATAAGTTAACACAGGTTAAGATAAACCATTCTACTATATCTGTTTCATAAATGGTGAAAAATACATGTAGAGGGAAGATTGATCTTGTTCATTTGATCTTCTGAGTAGAAGGGAGTTTAGCCACCAGTTTCTTTTCATGGACACTGAGGCCTTAGTGATTGGGAGTGAAGTTTGAAAATGCATCTTGAAGGAGAAAATAGTTTGAGGAGCATGATAATATGGGATATTGACTTTTACGGTGTTTTCCTAGAATATGAAGTGGAACACCACTTGCAAGATTAGTAGCTTCTTGTCAGCCTTTGCATGTAGTAAATTATTGGCAATGTTCAGATGAATATGAGATGATAGGTTAATTCTATAAGGTGACCCTGAAGTGGAGCACCACTTGCAAGATTAGTAGCTTCTTGTCAGCCTTTGCATGTAGTAAATTATTGGCAATGTTCAGATGAATATGAGATGCTAGGTTAATTCTATAAGGTGACCCTGAAGGCCTGAACATTTACTATCCCATGTTTTGGTTGACTAACCACACAGACCATATTTGGCCTCCTAGCTGGTGTTTTGCAAGCATATGCTACTGGAATAATATTTGTACTACTCAAGTGGAATTCTGCTTTCCAATATTTACTAAATTTAATTCTAATTTTAGTACTTCTAAAAATAGACATATATAATGGATTAATAGCTGGATCTTATAGGAAACTACTTAGACTTTAGTGCTTTTAATCTACTATCAACACTCTATAGTTTGGAAATCAGCTGAAATAAACTTAAGTCACTCAGAGGAGAAACATACCTGAAGTACCATGATTGGTTGTTGATGCCTTGCTAACCTTCATCTATCACAAATATCAATAGTTAGAAGTCTGGTCACTAATCACTTATGAGAAAATAGGAAACAATGACTAGGACAGTTTATTACTCTATTGTATGGCCATGCAATTGGCAACTTAAGAGCGTCAGCCATCTTCTCCACACCAGTATAAGGGCGAGGCAGAATTGCATCCCTTTTGATCACAACATTCACAACAACTTCACAATAATGCTTTCCAAGAGCTACACCTCCAAGAGTGGTTTTAGGATTTACTAAAATAATTGTTCCCCTAGCCATAGCTGTATCAGATCTGACTACTTCATATAATATCACATCACTTCCAATCTGAATCAAGTAATGCATCTATGAGAATTGAATTAATGATAAAGTAAATAATACAATTAGCATTACATGTTCTTCATGTGAATGAGAGCGAGGGGCATTTACATTCATCGCCTGTGCCGGTTTGGTTGCCTGGGGCTGTGCTAGTTTGGCTACCTTAGTCTGTGCTGGTTTGGCTGCCTAGGGTTGTGCTGGTTTGGCTGCTTGAGGCTGTGATGGCTGGGCTGCATGGGGCTGCATTGTAGGGGCTGCATTGGTGAGGCTACACTGACGAGACTGGACTTGTGAGTCTACATTGGGCTGCACTGCTGGGAATAGATTGGTAGGGCTGCATTGAGAGGATGGGGCTGCACGGGGCTGCATTACAAGGGCGGCATTGGAAGGGCTTTGCATAGTTAGGGCTATAGTATGCCTATCCACAAGCAAGTTTGCACCCACATCAATGGCATCATTGCTCTCATTATCTTCATAAGCTTCATCTTCTTGAAAATGAGCATCATGATATGCCTCATGAACATGTTCTGCAGATCTTGGGCTCTACAAACAAAATGGAAGAGATAATGAGATAAATCTGCACAAGGTATTAAGAGGCCAAACAACTAGCTGACGTATTGTTATAGTAGTATATACCACACGTTGTGAATTAGAACCATTCTGTGACATTACTTCTATATTTTGCCTTTCCTGTGCAAACCTTTTCTCCATCATTTGCATTTGCGCTTCCATTTGTGTTAGGCGCTGTTCTAGAGCTTCACTCCTACTTTCAGCCTTCTTACGGGCCAAAACTTCCATTTGAAATCTTGTAGGTGTGTAACACTTCAGTCCTGCTATACCAACATCTTGAGGAGTAGGTCCTAGACCTAAAGCTCGCACACGGCCTCTTGGCTCCTTTGAACCCAAAGCAGCAGCAAATACGCCACCTTGTTGAATTGTTCTTTCTGTCAACTCTGGACGGGCCTCAACAATTGCTTTAAGCTTGCTCTACATAAATGAAATGTCAATATTTACACTCCATAAAGATTACATACTGTAATTCAGCAATCATACATGAATAACTTACAATTATTGGTTCTGCATTCCTTATTGCAACACCATTTTTTCTTGTATGAGTTTTGATATAGAGTTCATCCCTTCGAGGAGGGCGTCCAAGTTCATCAACCTACAAGTGTTTTAGCTTTCAGCATAAAAAATCTACACAAAGCACCTATATAAGACACAATGGGAAATAAGTAATTATAGTTCTATGTAGTATGTACCATTTCATGTCCAGAACAAGCAAAACTCTTAGTGCCTGTTGTATGATGTATCTCCAACTTAGCACGGTTCGCTTTGGCAATTTGCGTCCGAACCTAAGATAGAAATTGTTACATTATGCAAAGATATTGAACAATACAAGTTACGTATGTATATAATAAGATTAGCCATACATCACATTCAGGAGACTTCCAATAATTTATGAGCCTAAAATAGAAATTACTACAATCTTCATGATTTATAATTTGATGGTTCAATTGATTTGCACCATGTAGATAGCGAGAACAAAGTGTAAGGCTCTCAGTAAACATAGACCACTCCATAATTGATTCCTCAGGGTGACTTTTTGTATGGACAGAACCCTTTAATCGCATTAGATATCTATATAAAAACAAAATGCACATTGACAATGTTATAAAAATAGTAGGTACTTAAACCTTCAACTATGTTACAATTTTTAGATGTCTAAAAAGATTACCTCTCTACAGGCCACATGCTGTGAAAATGGACTGGACCAGCTATTCTTGCTTGGGCAGGAAGATGTACCTTCAAGTGTACCATAATATCGAAAAAGGAAGGAAGAAATATAGTCTCAAGAAGGCTCAAGGTTTCAGCTATATCATCCTCTAGACTTTCCATATCACTTATTCGAATGATAGGTGAGCTAAGTTTTTTGAAAAAATTACTTATACGAATGACTGCAGCACTGACCATTTCAGGCAATATCCTTCTCACAGCAAGTGGCAGCAAGTGTTGTAGAATAATATGGCTCTCATGACTCTTTAGTCCAAATATCTTTTTCTCATTAACATGTATATTATGTCGTATATCAGATGTATAACCATCAGGAAACTTGACCCCTTTTAGTATTTGACAAAATAATTTTTTCTCATCCAAACTCATTGAGTATGGTGTAATTTGGTAAATACATTTGGTCATCCACGTCAACAGGGTGAAGATCAATTCTAATACCTAGAGCTTGAAGGTCGAGGCAAGAATTCAGATTATCCTTAGACTTCCCATCTGTGCCCGTGAATGTATTAAGTAAGCTTTCACTCACATTTTTTTCCTATGTGCATGAAATCAAAATTATGACGCAACATCAAATCTTTCCAATATGGAAGTAAGAACCAAATAGATCTCCTTTTGTAAATTACTAAGGGCTCCCATTCCTTACGTCTCTTCCTAGTTGGTTTCTTTCCAGATGGATCCTTGCCGAAACTATTACTAAGATCTTTAGTGTACTCCAAAATTTCCTCTCCAGAAAGTGGTTTAGGTGCTGGCCTAAACTCAGTTGTACCACCAAACATATTGGCATCAAACCTAAATGGGTGATTTTCGTGAAAGAATCTTCTATGACCCATATAGCAAGTCTTCCTACCATTACCAAGTCTAAGTGAATCTGTAAAGAAGTGACAATCTGGACATGCAGCTTCACCAGGGGTGATAGATCCGGACACATATCTAGACTAGGGAAATCAGTAATAGTCCACAATACTGCTGCCCGCAACGTTGCATCATAAGTTCTAACACCATGTTCAAACATATCTAATGAGTCATAAATAAGTGGCTGACAATAGAGATCCATATCACTACCAGGAGCATTTCTACCAGGAATCAGATAAGATAGGATGAAATTTGATTGCTTCATGCACATTGAAGGTGGAAAGTTGAAGGGAATACAAATACTAGGCCAAACACTATAGCTAACATTCATGGTTCTAAATGGATTAAAACCATCAGTGGCGAATGCTAGACGTATGTTTCGGCTATCTGCAGCAAACCGTGGATGCTTTTTATCAAAGGCCTCCCATAGAGGTGAATCTGCAGGATGCCTTAGTAGACCATCCTTTTTCCGGTCTTCATCGTGCATCTTATTAGCCTTGCTGTTTTTAGGACAAAAATAACCTTTTGAGTTGTTTCTTTATAGGAAAGTAACGAAGAACCTTCCTAGGAACCTTATGAACACGTTTCCCATCTAAACTCTTCCTTTTCTGATTTCCATCGTGAAACCTTACATTTCAGAAACGAATTCAGATCCACATTCCCCTTCCAATAGAGAATGCAATCATTTTCACATGCATGAATACTATTGTAACCAATTCCAATGGATTTTACCAATTTCTTAGCTTCATGAAATGTTCTAGGTAGTGCTGAACCCTTAGGAAGTGCATCATTAAGTAGATCTAAAAGCAGATTAATAGATCTATCAGACCATCCTCCAAGGAGTTTGATATGGAGTAATCTAATTAGGAACCTTAGTTGTGTATATTTCTTGCAATTTGGGTACAACTCCTTGTTATTTTCTACTACCAACTTCTCAAGGGCAACTAGTTTAGGACAAGGCTCTAGAGTAGAACCGTTGTCCTCAAAATCTCCTCTATCATCCAAATCAGCAGCTAAGTCTCTAAGAAAATCAGATATATCATCATCCTCACTAGAATCCTCTATAAACTCAGCATCATCATAATTCCCATCATCATGATTCACATGATTCATTGAAGAGCTACCTTCTCCATGTAAGGTCCATGTTTTATACCCTTTTAGAAACCCATCACATATCAAGTGCTCACGGACTTCACTTGCCTCTTTCCAAAACGAGTTAACACACTTTCTACAAGGACATAATATCTTGCTGCCTACCGCTGAATTCCTAAATGCAAAAGCTAAGAAACTGTTCACCCCTTGCCAATATGTCTTGGTGTGCCTATATGAAAATTTTAGGTTAAATTTCATTTTACCAAAAAATAGCACTCTCAGTAGTTGTGAAGTTATTATCTTTTACCTAGCATTATCATCAATCCATGTTTTATCCATCATCAACCTTTATGCAAGAGATCCAGTAGCTTACAGTATTAAATAAAAAAAACACATCACAAGCATTGAAACAGTTGCATACTTTGACAATACTAAAAAAAAGATGAATAGCTAGCGAAAGGTCGGACCCTACCGATGGAAACAAGGAGAGCTGCTGCCACAATATCGTTCGAACATCTTGTCAAGGTGTGCAAGTAGAACTACCTATTGTCCAGCAGTAGCAACACCATGCTCAACACCTGTGCCCATACAATGAGAGTTGTTGAACAAGATAAAATCACAGAACACAGGAATTGAATATATATATATACCCTAACGTAGTAGTTTAGTTTTGGACTTATGACTTGAAATTGCTGAAGGCTTGATCCACAGTACGTTTCTGTAGCAAGCAACCAACACCACATCAGAAGCAGACTAGCAAAGTGAGTTCCGGCCAATGGAGAAGCTGCCCCTACACATCACCAAGCAATGTCTAAGAAAGCCAAAAGATTAACGACATTTAGCTAAAACTAATTCATTCAAAACCAAAAATGAATCTTCAAGACCGCTGAGACTAAAGTCTGAAGAAAATCAGCGCTCGGTGTGACCGACTGCTGAGATTGAAGCCTAGCACCACATGGTAGGAGACTGCGGCTCCCAGCTAGGCGTGGCCCTCCTGCACGGCGCGGCCCTGCTGCTAGGCAGGTGGTGCAGCCCCCTGCTCGGCGCAGAGCCTGGGAGTAGCAGCGGCGTGGACCCCTAGGAGCGGCACGGACCCCTATAGTAGCGGCGGCACGGACCCCTAGGAGTGGCATGGACCCCTGCAGCAGCGGCGGCGTGGACCCCAAGGAGCGGCGTGGCACCCTACAGCAGCGGCGACGCGAACCCCTAGGAGCGGCGCGGACCCCTAGGCACGACCCCTGCCTGCAGCAGCAACGCGGTAGCACTGTAGCAGCTGCTGGGATCCCGTGGACCGTGCATGGCGGCGATTTGGGATGGAAGGAAGGGTCGCAGTGTTTTTTTATGGAAGGAAGGGGATAAGGTCATAAGGGGAGCGTGAGCCAGAAAAAAAAGTGGCAGCCATGAATTTTTTTACGCGTGTACCAGGGTTTCGGAGATTCGGTTGGCAAATTTTTGGCGCAAATCGGTAGCCACAGCGTGCTAGATTTTAGCTCTATATATACCGACCGACTGTCCGACGTTATTACTGACCTATACCGACCGATAGTTCGACTCTATCTATAGTGACCGATGTATAGCCGCTGAAGGCACCTTTACCGACCGATGGTTCATTGGAATTCTTTACCGACCAATGTTACATCGCTAAATAACTAGTTTTAACGACCAATGTCTGACGGTAATTCTGGTGTGTGGTATAGTGCAAGGAGGACCTATTCGTCAAAGGAAATCACGGAATTCCACCGCGTAACCAATGTGGGAAGGTTCCAGAAGATTCCAGGAGGCTCTCTACTGAAGGAGACCACATGTCTCTAACATGTGGGACCGCCCAGCCCCACTGCCAGGCTGCCTGGCCCCTGGTGGGCCCACCTGTCAGCCATGTTGCTACGTCGGTTCTCCGCCGCCTCCTAGGATGCATCTCAGCCGTTATTTCAAGTTGGTTTGATCCAAGGGCTGAGGATTGATGCTTCCTGTACCCCCAGGGCAGAGGCCTCACTTGATCCTGAGAGCTGAGAAGCCAGAAACCCTAATTCATATGTCCACTAGGATCAAGGCTAGCAATCAAGAAAAGATTAGTCTTCCATAGGATCTAGTCTTGTATTAGAGATAGAGAGATAGAGTGAGAGGGAAGAGTTTTGGAGGAGTCCTGGCCTGTCGGTGCTCTCTCTATAGCTTGTACCCTAGCGGAATCAAATTCTTCTTGAGCTTACTTCTAAAATTTCTCTGGTAATCGACTTCTAATTCAAGTAAGGATTTTGTTCATATTATTCTTTAGGTTTGTGACTCTCTTTTGAGTACTTTAATCCTTGTATCTCCTGGGTTAAAGTAGTATTCGTAGTGTAAGCATGGTGCTTAGACTCGATTACTCATGGATGTACCCTATTTTCTAGATCGGTGGTAGCTTGCAAGGGTGACTCTTATAGCCTTGTTGAATCCTTTGTAGTCCACCTACCGTTAGTAGGCTTAGCAGGACTTTGTTACTATAGGAAACATACTCTGCTTGTGTTTTCTCTAGTAATATCCCTAGAATTGAATAATAGAAGACAAAGCTTACTAAAGTTAGAACTAGATGACCTTAGAAGTCTCCTCTACACTCCTATTATCTTGTCTTGATTGTGAAGTTGGGTTAAGTTAGAATTGATTATCCTCACCCCCGTTCCTTTGGGTTCGATATAAAACTGAGTTACTCTTGGTGAAGTGCTACAACTGTATAATATCTATGCACTTGCGGATTATTCTGTGTGCATTAATTTATACCAACAGGAGTCAAGTGTGCACCAAATGATACAGTGCACACCAGTAACCTGGCCAACTTGTCAGGATTTCACCAAATTATTTATTGAGTGGCACAGAGGAACACTAGATCATACGACACACATCAGTATCGTGGCACTTGACAATAGCTAAGAAATAGGCCTCATCATATGATCTATGTGGTGCTACATAGGCACACAGATTCACTAGGTGGCCACTCTGTTATTGGGGTGAAGTCATTTCTACCTAGGGCATTGTATCGCTAGATGATCCACTAGGGACAAACCATATCATACAACTTTTACTCTAGTGTTGTTTTTATGCCCATTTCAAGTATGATATCGACCAATTCAACATTGAGATATTTGACTTGAAGCCACTTCTATGGGACCACTTACCACCGTGATCTTGTCTGAGTGTTAACCTCTTATGCATCCAAATGCTCTCGCTCAGACTCCATGAAGATGAATGCCTAACCTCCCTTAATAGTATGGCCAAAGGAACAGTGAATCCCAAATACATACAACAACAGATGTCTCTAAGCACCAAGCTTACATTTTCTCCATTGTGTCCTTAGTCTTCATGAATATCCATTGCGTGATACTCCAGTAATCATTACAAATCTTTGGGGCAAAGACACTTGTGGCCAACTTGTGACTAACTCCAATGTGGATACCACTGTAAAATACACATTAGTTAACACTTTTGTTCATCAATCACTAAATTGGGGACTAGATGTGTCCATTACTGTCGGATTGTTTAGCTTCGGCAATGCCTAGCAACGTGATCGCGTAGATTGATCCAGATGGTTGCACACGAGACACAGAGATTTATACTAGTTTGGGCCCCCGGGAAGCGAGTAAAAGCCATACGTCCAGTTGCTACTTCTTGTATTCGTATGCTCAGTTACAGGGGCTGTTGCTCCTAGCTACGAGGTAGATTGAAATGAGGCGATGGTGTCACTACAGGGAGACCGAGGATCAGTGATAAAATATGGTGGCAAAATTTTGTTTTGTCACTGATTCCCATGTTATTAGTGACCAAACTAATTTTCACCACTATTGCATCGGTTATTATTGGCAAACTACTATATCGCCACAGGATGTATCTTCAGTGGCAAATTTAGTGGAGAAACATTAATTTGCCACTAATAAATAGGTTAATTGTGACTAAATATTTTTTCCTCACAACTATGCCATGTATCTGTGATAAAATATTATATGGCCACAAGGTTCAAGATTAGTGAGAAAATGTTGTGGCGAAATTAAAATTTTTCACTATTTGACATATTAATTGTGGCTAAACAATTTTCGCCACTATTATTACATTTATCAGTGATTTTTTTTGCAATGCCACATGGTACACAATTAGTGAGAAAATGTTGTGGCAAAATATTCTTTAGTCACTGTATACCAAGTTAACTGTGAGAAATAAATTTTCTTGCTATATAATATTTATTAGTGATGAAAACATGTGGCAAATATTGTATTATCACCGTTTACTAGATTATTTTTGACTAAATATTACTCTCTAACTGGTGTATATTAAAAATATTACCTGTCAGCAAGGGTGTTGGATGCGAGCCCCTCAGGCTGTGCACCGGAGGCAGGAAGCAACAGATTGGAGGCAGGAGCATTGCGGGGCTCTCTAGGATTTAAGCGGTGGCCATGGAGTACTGGGTTTAATCAGATTTGTTGGCCTTCTGATGTTGATCAAAAAATGTAGGACCTTGCTCTATTTTCTTTTTCTTTCTCTTTTTGTGGTGAACATTAATGCTGATGAATACATGGTTGGTAATCTGGTTATCTGTGGAGGACCCGATTTTGTATTTGACAAAGATTTAAAGCACCATAATTGCTTTATTAATCATGGAAAATATGAGTGAGTTCATTATTTGCAAAAAAATTATCATCCAAAATAAAACTAAAATGGTTCGAACGTGGATATTTGACTTGATCTGTATGAATAGACAATGATGTTTGAAAATAAACTAAATTAAAATGTACTTTCTCAATTTCAAATTATAAGTCATATGATCTAACAATTGACACTAAGTTTGTTTCGAAGCCATACCAACAACCAAAGAGCATCTCTAGCGGCCATGGTAAAGCAAGTCCTATGTAGCAGCTAAATAGGTGACCACGCACATGGCGGCGACGAGGGCAGCCGAGGGTGAACCCAAGCCACCAGAAGTCATCAAGTGTGTGGACTATGGCAGTAGCCTCATCTTTGTAGCTGTGGAACATGACAACAGCGGCGAAGCGGGCTCATGCAAGTCAGCCTAAGCAGGGACCACCTCCACAGAGTGGCCCCTGGTGCGGTGGCCGAGGAGCATGAGATAGAGGGATAAGGATGGGTGTGGGATTTGATGCATGGAAGATGGAAGGAGAGGTTTAATGGTCATTTTGGGTCAGGGTATCAAATAAAAATAGCATATAATGGATTACAATATTGATTACTCTTTAGTCAAACCGGTCGCCAAGCCCATCTGTCGCCAATTCGCCTTGGCGCACTCCCAGACGGAAGACGCCTGCGATGCGCCGCCATGCTGCCGATGCGGCAAATCCTCCACCCTGTCCAATGATTCATCATCATGGCCCCGATCCACTCGACCGCCGTTGTGCCCATCTCCGCACCACTGTCCTTCCATCCAATCTGTGAAGATGGCGATGTCTCCATTTTCATATTGTTGCCCTGACTTTCGATCTGTGATATACCTATGCTCGACACCAACCCATGCACACGCTGGGCATCCATGCCTCCTGTCCATTCCAGTCTTCATGTTTCTCGAATAATTTGTTTGTCAGATTGTTTCTTTTGGTAAAATCTCCATTCATTCCATTGCTATTTTGCAGGAACATGGCTCCACGGGTGCCTCGACGAATTGCTGAGATGGACAGAGAATTTGATGAGCTAGCCTCTGCTTTATTCAATGATCCAAGAGGCCAATTGACCTCTGGTATAGATTTTATACATTTATTAGCCACTATTATGCTTGAACTTACATGATCTTTAATTAGTTAATAAGGTGTACTTTGTAGTTATCAGCAACGAATTGCTGAGATGGACAGAGAATTTGATGAGCGCCTCTGCTTTATCCAATGATCCAAGGGACCGATTGACCTCCGGTATAGATTTTATACATTTATTAGCCTCTATTATGCTTGAACTTACATGATCATTTATTAAGTTAATAAGGTGTATTTTGTAGTTATTAGCAACTCGACATATTAGTACTGAGAGTGATTCCATTAATATCCACCATTTGTACTGTAATCTAATCAAAGGCTGTAATCCAATCAATTGTACTGTTATCTGATACAATTAATTTGATGAACCATCCTAGTCTTAATGCATGTTCTTATAATTCATTAGCTGAACCTGTTTTCATGTCATCTAATATATGATTTCTTACTTCGTTGTTTCATGTTTTGTAGATAAAACTACATGAAGCACCAAGAAAAGATTAATTCTACACCTATGCCAGCACGACGCAAATCGAGGCTTATGAGCAGTGTGAAGCTGCAGCTCAAGCACGTGCAAATGCTACTGAGCAACATACTATTAATTTTGAGAGTTAATTTGAGTGTGTGAGTTATTTTGAGAGTTCCAAGTGTTATTAATTTTTGTGTATTGTTTGATTGCAACATTATCATGGTTCAAGAATTATTGAAATAAATATTATTGGTCTACATTTGTGAGAATTGTATTGCTATAATGTATATCTGTTGAGCCTTTTTTGTCACTAAAACATGGGTGATAATGATACATCATTTGCCACAACATCTATTGTTTGACACAATTGTAACAAAAACAGTGAGAACAAATATCGACACAGTAAACTTGTATAATGGCGAAACTCTGGTCATTGATATGTAGTCTCTAGTGACCATATAATTTGTCACTTTTATAATGGTAATTGTGATGACCAAATTGCCATAAATACTCTATAGTTGTGTCAACTTTTTTTCACCACTAAAAACCTTATAAGTGGCATCTTTTTTGCCACTAATGCATATGCTTTTGTGATGAAAAATGGGGCCAGTTTACTAGTGTCACCACAATTCGTCACTAAAGAGTATGGCCATTTGTGGGGAACAAAAAATCATCACTAGAGTATTTGTGAGGTGAGTATTTGTGGCGACTAGTGGCGATTGGAAAAGTCGCCACAAAGGTTGTTTTGTGGTGAAAAAATATGCTTTTGTGATGAAAATTTTCACCATAAAAACCCTTTGCCCTTGTGGTGTGTCGCGGTAGATGTGATGATCGCGGAGTCCTTATCCCTCTTTATATAGGCAAAGGGGTAGGGTTACAACGAGAGTGATTGGCGCTACAGATTGGATTCCTAGTTGGTTACAACAAATCAATTCTATCCTACTATAGCTGTGATGGCGGCAGATATCCTTGATACGTCATGATCTCCAAGTTGGTAGTTGCGCTTAGTCCTCGCGGGCTTCCTCCTCGGTCATCCTCCATTGATGGGCCAGATATATGGTCGGTGAGGGTAACCCGGGCCCATATCTCTGACAGTAGCCCCCGTAGGATTTAATGATAGGCTCGTAGAGCTGTACTATCCTTCAGGTGCTGTAAGTCCCTGTAACGTTCGGGTGCCATAGGTCCCGATGAACACCTCTCGGGTGTCGAGATGCTTGAATACAGTCAGAAGGTCCCGAGTATCGAGATGACTGTGCATGTTGCACTGACTGCAGTAATGCCTTCCCGAGTTTTGGGATTCCTTCGAGTGGAAGTCTCCCACCCATTTCAACGCATCGCATGCGTGTCATTGAATCCTGTAAAAGATAAGGATAGTGGTGCCTGGGAACTCGAACCGTTTTGTTTTCCATGCTTTTACTTTGTGGAACTCTCTCAATGCCTAAGTGCATTTTTAATGCCAAACACCCACTCCCCTACCACCATCCTCGGGCGCTTATTTAAGCAGGGGGTAGGGAGGCCAGTGAGTCTCACCCCTCCTTTCTTCCCCAAATCCCATAGCCTTAGACGGAATGTGAGAGTGGCGATTCTGGTTGGGCGCCATGGTGCATGGAGATTTCCAGCGGTCATGCCGATGCTAGGAGAAGGCTTTCAAGATCGGGTTCCATAGTGGCCTGGCGGCAGCCGTTCTCCTCGAGTGTTAGAGGAAGTTCCACGAAGAGGGGGAGGACCAATACCATTGGTGGCCCGAGTCGCTGAGGGAACATCGGCTGGGTTCACCGGTGGTCGACACTCGGGGGCTCTCCGGGTCAGAATATCTATAGGGAATCCTGGAGGGCAAAGGGCAGCTTGCTGTTGCCGGGAAACCCTTTGCCCCACAGATGTCGACCTGGGTGCTCTCGTGTATCGATTCGGAGGCTTGACGAAGCCAAATTGATGTCGTTCGCTTCTCCCCGATGCCGTAGAAGATGGCGTTAGCCGCCCTCCTCACGCGGCTTCTCCTCCTCTTGGATGTTAGAGGAAGCTCCACGAGGTGGGACTCCTGAAGGCGTCTTCCAAGCGTCATCCGTGCTCCTGAAGGTTGAAGTTGGGGAAAGGGTCGCGGCGCACTTTCATCCAACTTCTACACTTCATGAGATGTCCATCGCTTGAGTGGTGAAGTCGATCCTGTGCTTAGAAGGCTTTTCATAACTATAGTAGTTTCTGATAGATTTTGGTTATTGTAAACCAGGTGATGTAAAATGCAGCAAAGTTTAATCGAAAAAGGAATGACTTTTGTTGATTTTGAACACTACTACCTGTGTCCTGATTAAATCAGGTGGTTTGAAGATTTTCGTTCAGTCGAACCTGACCTTGCATTTTTATAGGCTCCCCTTTCCAACCTGATGGGCAGTTAGTATAACTATGGGTTATGCAAGCGACTTGATCTAAAAGTTTACTCCGACCAAGTGCAGTCGTTCATGGCTCTGGAAGCCAGCAATCCCGAAAGCTCAAAGATCACTTGGGCAAATAGCGAATACATGTAAACCTCTGGGGCTATGATGTATGCTATTCTATCGAGTTAATAACGGGTAGAACAGGTGAACGTCCACTATCTGGAGCGGTAGGACAAAGCCTGACCAGCTGGGGCACGTCATAAAATTCTTTTTCTAGATTTTAGGAGCTCGTACTTTGGTTGCAGCCATGGGCGGACCAGTTTTCCGGTTCCCCAGAGGGGCACACGTCCACTGAAATAAGGTACTTGTAGCCTGTCCTAACATTCGAGAGATTTGTGTAGCCTCGAGGCCAGAGGTTTTAGGATCGGCTGGCGACCCCCCCGAACATCCCCCTCACTTTAGAAATGGCAGGGTTCATCTTTCATGATTCTGGGCCAGAATCACCGACTGCATCTGCTGCTTTGTTGGGCTACGCCGGGCTTTGGTGGGGCCTAAATGTTGGTCCACCCGGTTTCACCAGCAATTTTGGGCCTCAGGCCCAGGATCTATAAGGGTTTTTGACTAGTATTAGCCACCCTTATAGGTTAGCCGAGGGTGCAGACGGTCCGTCCCTTTGCCGCAGCCGACAAAAGCAGTAGTGCTCACTCCTCTGCTTACCTTGACCTAGCAAACATCGTCACATATAGATCCTGCTCCCGGCAGTCACAATCATGGCGCCAAGAAAGACGCTGACCAAGAAAACCAAAACCATTAGTTTAGTAAGTGAAGAAGATATGGGCTTGAAGAGCAAAGGGGGATGGAGTCGCGTCCCTAGTTCTCCATGGGAGGTGCCACCAACGATGGAGGAGGACATCAAGAATCTTGTGGTTGCGGGATTCCTGGAGCCAAGGGAGCTTTCGAGTTACCGGTGTGCCCTTGGCCAGGACATGCCCACCCCTGATTCCGGCAAGATTGTAGTCTTCATCGATTTCTTTCACCACAGATTCAGGGTGCCCATCCATTGGTTCTTTTGAGATCTCCTATGATACCATGACGCGCAGGTACACCACCTAACCCCAAATAGGATCGTGCTTCTAGCGATGTTCATTTCCTATTATGAAGACTTCGCGGGGATCAAACCCCACTGGGCGTTGTTTTGTTGTTGCTTCGACGTTCTTCCTCAGTCGGACCAAAAGGTCATCGGTAGCCTTTGGATCAAGGTGGCCTACAAATCTCCATTCTTTCACATTGATCTCCCTTCCAACATCCCAAATTAGGCGAAGAAGTGGTTTTGTGTTTATGACTGCTCAGCTCCAACCTTTTCCCACAAGCACCCACCCGCTCTGCCAGCGGTAGAGAAAGAGGAAGTTCCTGAGTCTGAGCTGGAAGACGCGGATGAATTCAAGAGTGACATGCAAGATTATCACCGGAGGAGAGGGGTTTTCAGTCTGGTTTTTACCAACAAGGTGCTGGGTCCAAAATCCTAGCTGAAAGGTCCTAATATGGCTAGAGAGGGGTGAATAGCCTATTTAAAAATCTACAAGAGCACTAGAGCAACTGATTAGTTTGACAAATGGTGTAATGTAATTTTGCTCTCGCTCTACAAGGGTTGCATGCCACCTATCCCAACAATTCTACTTGCTATAATCACTAGGCACACACAAGAGCTAAGTCACTACTCACTAAGGGCTCTCAACAAGGCTACACTAAAGAGCTCCACTAGAAGAAACTAAGCTACAATGCAAGCTGTCAATTCTAGCTACACTAAAGAGCTTGCTACAACTAGTTTTTGAGAAAATAATGGAGTGAGTAGGATGATTATACTGCCGTGTCGAGAAATGAACCAATCACAATATGAAGATGACCAATCATCGAGAGAAATCCAATCACACAAGAGACACAAGATTTTTCTCCAGAGGTGCACGTGCTTGCCGGC